GTGTGTGCAAACCAGGTGAAAAACTACAGGAAATGTTTGACCTCTATAACTGCATACAAAGACTACTGTACCGAATATTAACATTGATTTTCTCAGGTGTTCAAATACTTTATTTTCAGCTGTATCATACAAATAGTTCAATAAAATCATGTATTTCTGGATTTAGTTTTTTAGATTATGTCTCTCCTAATAGACATGCACCTAAGATGACAATTTCAGACATGATTTCTAAGTGGGAGGACTTATAAAATAGCAGGGTGTTCAAATATTTATTTTCTTCAGTGTAGTTAAATTTGTGCAGCTGCATGTTTATACTGCTGGAGGACAGAGATGCTAATTTTCATCATCTCTATTCTCCCACTCTGCAGTATTAACTAGTTCAGCCTCTAGCTTTATTTTTTTTCTCTGATTTTTCTTGTCAGTGTAACTTAATCAGTACCATTCCCGTTTGGCTGTGAAATCATCATGGAGAGAATTATCAGCTGTGCTGCCGCCATTAACACCTTTGTTTATAGAAGTTGGAGCTTTGCCTGTTTTTCAGTGTAGTCCTGTTTCTCTGACTTACTGTTTATTTTATCCAGCTAATGCTCTTTTATCCTCTGACATGGGAGCTGGCTTTGAGCTCTTCTGTCTGTGTCTTTCCAGTACGAGGCCACCCCTGGAGCTATAGAACAGATATATATATATTTTTTTATCTCTGCTTCTTTCTCTATGTCTGCTTCTGTCTCCTTCAACCCCAGTCGGCCTGGGCAGATGGCCGCTCACACTAGGCCTAGTTCTGCTGGAGGTTTCCTCCTGTTAAAAGGAAGTTTTTTCCTCTCCACTGCTGCTGCATGCATGCTCAGTGGGAGGGATTGCTGAAGAGTCAGTGACAAAATGCAAGCGAACATAATAGTCTCTCATGCAGGAGAAGCATGATCTTCAGGTCAATGGCTCTGTCTGAACGTCTGCCCTAACCCCTAAATAAAGCATGATATAGGGGTTACGCTATTTTACATGGGTGTCGAAAGGATGAAAAAGTAGTGATCTCAAAATCCCCCACAATGCACCTTGAAAAATAGCATACATCCATAGTCATTAGATGAGCAGATATATCCCAGACTGCTTTGCCACAGATCTCCTTGCAAAGCTTCATGGGATTTAAATTGGGGGGCGAAAGAGAACTAAGATAGTGCATGCACCGTGCGGGAAGCCAGAGTCACGTTACCCACGGGGAGCGAAAAGTAGTGGTCATCTGTCAAAATGGTCAGTTAACTTAGTTCACTGTAAAGTCTATTATATAGTTCCCACTCTATAGTGATTTAAGTCAGGATGTTAGTTAGGATGGATGGACTATAATGAATATATGAATTGAATTGATTTGAGTTTCTGAGGACAAGACAGAGAGCAGAGCATTGACTGACTGACAAATACACATTGTGTTTAACATCAGCGCAGAGCAGAGTGTCCTCCTGCCACATTATCTGTCCCTAAAGATTCTCAGTCATCCAGGTCATAGTCAATCCAAAAAAGTAAAAAAAAAAACCCCACTGGACTCTGTTTCCAAGTATGAAGACTCCAAAGGAGTGGCCCCGTTCGTCCGTTTCAGTTTGCATGTTGTCTAAGCAAAAACAAGGCTTTGTTGGGCTACTGTATAAAGCAAATCAACACTAATTCTGACATTTGAATTGAAAAAGCTTCCTGGATTGAAAGCAAAGCACAGTTTCATTCTCTCTGTGATCATTTACCTTCTTATTTTAAAATAATTTTAGCACTAAAAACCCGATCTTTTAGCAGAATCTGGGTCAAAATTGTAAGCTTTTGGGTTGTTGGCCTAGTGATGGCTAATGGTCCAGGATCCTCCTCTGCATCACATAGGAGGATCCTGGACATTTTACCACTTTATAAAAAAAAAAAAGAAAAATTAACCACAATCCTTTTTATTTTGATGAACCTCTCAGTTCAGTAAATCTATGCTCCCTTTACAGCCAATCCTGAAACCATCACTAGATAGGAGGAAGAATTAGGTCATGTTTAAATGTGTTTAACTTATAATAAACCTTTTGCTTCAAACACAGTGTGAATATATTTGTTTGGTTTGATCCCATAAATCTAAATATCATGAATTACTGATTTTTCTCATTGAACTTCTTTTGTCGGTGGAGTTCAAAGCTCCAACAGTGTTGGTCCTCACCTGTGTGTGTGTTTGTGTGTGCATTACCTATCCTCTGGGCCATTGTTCTTCCCTGTTGCTCCACCATTCAACAGCTCATCGTCGTGGCAACCAGCTGGTCTGTCCTCAGACAAACCCAGGACAACCTGAAAACAAAGATGTTTCTCTTATCAAACTTTATAAGTACAGAGTAATGTTATTAGATTGAGTTAAATGTACAATATTTAATGATAAAGTTCATTACTTTAAATGGGATTTTTTTATTATTTTATTGGACATTTAAATATTTAATGTACATTTTTTTATTCAATCCTATTTGAATGGCGTTTTAGATAAATAAATGTTACATCTATATATTTAATGGTACATTTCTGTTTTCCAATTATAGTTTCCCTTCAGTTTAGGGTTCCCGTCATAATGGTTGTGAAAACCATCTGAAAAACCCCCCACTTGAGTCACGACCACCAGGGGGGCCCGACCCCCAGTCTGGGAGCCTGCTCTACAGAATCAGCTCACACAGGGCGAATCCTGCTGCTCTTTGCCTGCCTGCTATTGAGACGGTAACCATGGAAACACAGCCGATGCTGTAAAAGGTTGTGTTTGTGACTGAAGCAGGTTCGGGTTCTGGTGTGTGGCAAACAGGGCCTGGTTCTGACATCTTCAAACAGAAATTAAATCCTGACTAAAGTAGATCCTGGAGCTGAGTAACGATGCCTTAATGGCTGGAACTGCTTCTGAATTTCCTCACATCCATAGCAGAGGCGACTGGCTGCTCTGGGGGATAAACAGCGCGTGCTCAGACCCAGTACGCCGGACTGAACACGTGCACAGCTCACGTTCCTGTCTCGTCATCCTGTCACGTTCAGCAGCAGCCAATCCGATGGCTCGCAGCGTTGTCTGCCTCAGCCAATCAGCTTGAGGCGCTTTGCCCAGCATGACAGAGTGGGCGGAGCCTTTTACATAAACAGACTGCAGCTTTGTTCTCCTCCTCAGTCTCTGTACCACTCACATCTGAGGCTTTTAATTTGAAAGACCGACCAACGTTGCGCTATAGTTTAAATTCTGTCCAATTCCCTTTAATGGCGCTGTAGTCAAAGGGTTCTAACGAGTTTAAAAATGGCGGAATCATTTTTCTCCCTTTTTGTTTGTTTTTGTAGGATAACTTCCCAATTTGACTAAGAACATTTATTAACCCTTTATAGGGAACTCAGTGAAATACTTTGATCCAAATTTCAAGCTACTGTTATTGGAATCCAGGAAAAGACCTCATTACCTTTGTAACATTCAGAAAATGTGAATATTTTGATGGCAAAAATGTATGTCAATGTAAAACCTAGAAACACCAACTTGTCTGAATATATTAAGAAAAATACCAAAGTGCTAGAAGAAATTCATGAAAAACACACTGAGAGTGAAAGAAACACATTTCATTTTGGTCCAACATAAATTTAGAGGCATTAATGCTGATACTGGCACTTACATTTTTATTTTATAAACCTAAATATAATTATAAAATAGGCTTATTAACTTTTGTACTTTTCAATTAGATTTTAACCTTTTTTTCTTGTCTTAACTTTTTTCCTAGTAAATTTACAGTAGGTCATTTATCATTCAAGGGCTCATCTAATTGGTCCAATGGCAAAATAACATGTACAGCCATGTAGCAGGATCTGAATGGCTGGATGTAGATCTTTTGCTTCAAGACCTCACTGAGAGACAGTGGGGACTCCACTTGTAAGGGGTATGCAAGTGATCAAAAACGCTAACCTGCCCTTTAAACGGTTAAAGGATTCAACAGATTTGAATCTGCTTCATCCTTGCTGCCCTCTCTGAGTGGATGGTGGTGGTGGTTGGTTCCTCACCTGGTTCTGACTGGCCTCTGACCATGACGGCGCACCACAGGAGGTCTGCAGTAATCCTGACTCGCTCCTATCAAAGTCATGTTGTTTCATGTTCTATCAGACCACATGGAGGCGTGACCTCTGACCCCAACGCACTAAACAACAGGAGGATTCTTGGGGTGGGGGGGACTGCAAAAACCTCTAAAATAGTAGAAAATCCTCAAAGAACTGGAGGAGACGAAAACCTGTAGAGACACAAAGAAAAACTTCTTAAAACTACAGTAAAAGGCTTTGAAACATTTGCAGAGGAGTCATAAAAGACACGGGAGCGACAAGAACCAGAGCAACACTGGCAGCGCAGAGTTGCCTATAGCAACCAGCATAGCAACATCCCAGTGCCATTCTTCTAAGCATCAAAATCAGAAAGAATAGGGATTTAAGTGGCTTTGAAGGGGCTACGGTCATTGGTTCCAAGTTAGATATCTTACAAAATGCTCAACGGCAGGGATTTTCACAAAATGAATAAATTTAAGGATGACAGAGAATGGACTATAGCAGCAGGAGAACTTTTGGTAAAACAGTCTGCTCTCACTTTCAGCTCCAATTTGGAGTAAGAATAACCCAAAGCATCATGGTCCAGCGGGGATTGTTTGTGTTCAGCATCAGCAGGTCAGGCAGGTGGAGGGATGATGGTATGGATGTTTATGGAAAATCTAGAGTCTCTCAGTTCCAACCAGGGGCGGAGCTAGATGGGGGGCCAATCACTGGCCACTCCTAAAATTTATTTTCCCTCTAATAACAGTAATACTCTCAAGTGAAATATTCAAAACATTTAAAATTGTTCATATATTAACAAGAACTGAGAACAAAAACGCTGTGGTTAATTATGCACATCAATATACTAACATTAAAGATAATAAGCACAGAATTCATGCTCTTTTCAGAACTAGATTTGGTGTTATACGGGGTAAAGAGGAAATGATGTGTATCTGAAAGTCCTCTAGGAGTCTTCAGTGAAATCATAGATAAGTAACTATTTTAATAAAATCTTTATAATCAATTTATGAATATATCAGTAGTTGTAAATATCAATTTTATGCAGAATGATTGTTTATAAAAGTAGGTAAGTAATAACAAAGGAAAAGATGTTCACCCCAGAACTCAAACCTGAAAGAATCGTTTCCACTGTACCTTTTATCTAGAAGCATGGATGTTTAAATTCATGTGTCTATTTGTTAGCATAGCCTGTAGGAAAGTATATTTTATCTTTATTTAGAAAATATGGACGTTGTGCTCGTTAATTTTCCTGTTACAATAGCGTAAATTGACCCTGAGGTTCTGGGGCCTATCCACTTTCGGCCCCTCAGTGTGTACCTTGCCTCTGGTTCCAGCTGAGCTCTATTTAACCCCCACTGTCCATTAAATATAGGTTCTGACTGTTTCACCACATCTGATCTGAATCCACCTGCACCGTGGTCCTGAAGACCCCCCAAAAACCAAAAAGCCCCTCCTGGATGATTAGGAGAAAAATCTGAAGCAACATTTTGGATCTAAGACCTGAAGAATCCCAGCAGAGGGCCAAACAAGAAATAAAGGGGTGTACCTTTTAAATTGGCCTTCAGGTATTCAGGTTCAAAATTACTTGTATGGGTGTGTAATACATCCATGTACTACAATAAAACTGGATGTACTTGTTGTCACTACACACTAGAGTAACGCTGCTGTACTTCAGGTGAATACCTGCAGCTCCTCAGTAGTACTTTGAGGTTCTGAAGTACGGTGACTGGAACACCGTGTACGGCTACTACAGGGTACCATTCAGAGCTCCTTCAAAATAAAAGCCTGGGATGCTGCGCTAATAACCGGAGATCTCCGCGCGCCCGGACACCATCCGAGATCAAACACCCGCACGTGTTCACCTGGTCTCCCTCACCTGTGCGGGTTCTCACCTGCCCGTGTGTCCGCGCGTGTCCGTGTCCCGCTCCTATTTTTTCCTCCTTCAGCTTCGCTCAAATGATGCTGCTGCGGCTCAGCGCCGGTGGGGCGGGGCATCATGGGAAATGGAGTCACAGCCTGGCGTCACTAACGACGCAGAAGTTGCGTCACAGGCGGAAGTTGGGTTAAAAACAATTAAACCATTATGTTGAGGAGACAGTGTGCTGAAAAAGTAGTTTTGAACCAGTTGGTTAGTCAGAAAATCAGACTGTTTATCTCTCTGTCACTCTAATTTGGAAAAAAAAAACAAAAAAACAAAGCATCCCTCAATGAGCTGTATTAGACCCAGCATTTTCTACATTTCACAACAAATATAAACTTAATGCATTTATGGTTTGACTCTAATTCATCCGAAAATGGATCTAAAAGCTGAAAACACCAAATTAGTTAGTTTTACAGGCTAAGTGTGAGTGAACAGACCACTGATCTATTCACTGGATTGCAGATAGCCTGAAAAAAGTGAAGCCACCGGCCGGCATATTGGTAGTCCCCGCTCCCACAGAAATGCTGAATGTGTAGCATTTGGCTGCAAAAACAAGCATTTTTCTGGCTCTGGGAAGGTGTTTCACTGGTAATTTCCCGGTCAGTTGATGATTGAGCCAAGAAAATCCATATATACGTCAACGTATGCAATATTATTGTATGTAGTGTAACATTAGTCTAGCTATCTAAGACCAATTCGAAGATTGTGTCTAACGTTAAAAAATAGAAAGTTGAGTAAATAGAAAGTTATTCACAGTGAAATGCCAATGTAGTAATTCTTTGTTAAGAGCATGATGCTGTTGCTATTGTAGTGTTTGCTGTATTTCTAATTTCAAAAAGTCATGTGCTGAAATATTTTGCATGTTATATTGACGAAAAAAAGCAACTCAGACATTTTCAGACACATCGTTAAAGTATATGCCATCATGCATTCACAATTTGCAAATAGGAAATTTGCAAATTGTGCATGCATGTCATTAACATAGATTTACTTGTAATTCAGTTTTTATGTAAAGTTTTGAAATTATATTTAATATGTTATAACAACAATAATCATCATCAATACATGTATATTATATCAATCAACACTTTAGCACTTTTGGCCCTTAATTATTATTATTCTCCATTAACAGATTAATTTTGTTGTGATGGATTTGTATAATATTTTATATTACATGATTTATAGTTTTC